TGCCTGGACCATGGGTCCAGGGGAGACATGGGGGGAGCAGGAATGGGGTGGCTGAGTGGGTCAGAGGGCAGCACTCAGGGGACCAGGCAGTGCCACAGCCCTGCTCCTCCTCATCCCTGAGCTGTGCCAGGCCACCACAGCATGGCTGTCAGCAGCAGGGGATGGGCATGCAGGTTGGTGGGGAGGAGCTGAGGGCTCCAGCTCATCTCAGCATCCAGGTGGGGTCTGGTACCACCAGCATATTAATGAACTTCTCCCAGAGGCCTCCAAGACCCTGTTCCCTCTCCTTGGGCAACCTCAAGCATTTTAGTGCACATGTCCTCCCCTTCTCCCAGTTCCCCATCCCTACCTGTCTTGAGATGCTTCCCCAGGGCCTCAGAGTTGGTTGCAGAAGGGCTGTGCTGTCCTGGGGGGCTGTGACAGTCCCGTGGGGAGCATCAGGGGGCTGAGTTGCAGGAGCTCCCCAGCCACATCCCCGTGGCTGCTGGTGGCCGGTAGTGGGAAGGGGCTCACCTTTCAGGGACAGGCGCTATCGGATCTGCTGCCGGGAAGCCAAGCCTGGGAGATTGGGTTACAAACACTGGATAACAAAGACCTCTGAAACGTAAGCCCCAGGAGTGGGCGTGAACTGTCCATCTGTGCTTCACTAGCAGAGGGAACCAAGGAGCTCTGGGCTTCACTGTGGGCAGAGGGCTTGGGCATCGGCTGGATTTGGGCAGCAGCAACGGAGCCTTCCACATCCTGGGCCACCCTTCCTGGCTAGGAGCAGATGTTGGCAGATGTTGGCCAGTAGAGACACTCCATCGCACTCCAGCCCACACGTGCCCAGGTGATGAGGGCTGCGGGGACAACAGTGACTGGGCTGGGAGGGCATGGCGAGGCTCCAGGCTGGCAGGGGTGGCAGGGCTGAGGCTGGCACAGGGACACTGAGGCTCCAACCTGCTCCGAGATGGCAGTGCCCACGCATGGGGTGGTGCTCCTCCTCCAGTGCCTGGGGGTGACATGTCCATGACCTGCCCCTGCTGTCCCAGCTGGAGCTGCAGGGTCTGGCGCTGGGGGTGAGTTACTGATGGCCATCACCGGGCTGGGGGGAGCCCAGCACCCCCCTGGGACACCTGCATGACTCAGGGGAGGCAGCAGCACCAGGGAGGTGGCAGACTGTCCCCACAACTGCCAGCCCCCTGCCCAGGGGTCCAGCGGCTCCAGCCTCAGCACAGAGGGTGCTCCAGATTGGAAATAGAGAGGGTGGTAGTGGGGCAGATCCTAGGCACAGGATCCTGGAGGAGAAAACCCTATCCTGGAGGCAGGGCAGGACTGCCAGGACACCTGACAGCATTCCTGCATGGGAGCAGGAGAGGGCAGCAGCTCCCACTGCAGGCACAAACAGGCAGCGGTGCAGGCAGGGAGACAGGCAGCCCTCTCCCGTGCTGCCTCCTCACCAAACATCTCAGCAGCCCTCGGGCCACGTTTCCAGCACTCCTTGGAGAAAGAATTGGGGGTTTTGGAAACTGAGAGCCCCACAGGATCGCTGGGCTCTGCAGAAAGACTGGCCCCAGTGCCTGGGAGTGAGGCACCAGCACTGGCAACACAACACCTTTGGGGCACATGTCCTGATCCTGATCCATCCTCTGTCACAGGCTTCCCCAGACAGTGCACATGGTGTGCATGTGCTCATGGATCCCCAGGAACGAGGGTGGCATCCCATAGCAAGACTTTGCCCTTCCCTTGCCAGGCTGGTGGCAGGCACAGGAGAGCAGGGCCAACTTGGGACAGGGCTGTACCAGGGATCTCAGATTTGGCCAAACCCACGGGCCAAGGTGGGGGCAAGAGCCATCTGCCCTGGGCAGGTCAGGAAGCATCTGTGTGGGATTGCCACTGTGCCCTGGCATCTCAGGGTACCCCCCTGCCTGCCTGCAGGGGGTTGGCAGCCTCTGGATGCTAACAGCCAGGGCAGAGCTGGTTCCCAATGGGCACAGTGTGCTGCCTCCATGGCCATGGGGCCAGGGACATGCTGGGTACGTCCAGGCATGTCCCAAAGCTGGCAAGCAGTCCCTGACCCACCTGAAGCACAGTGAGGGGGTGGCTCACCTGCTGCAGGGACAGGTATGGCACAGGCATGTGTCAGTCCCTTAGGCCACAGGAAGCCCTGCCCAAAAAGGGTGAGGGGGGGGGTTGGCTCAGTGCACAAGTGGGAGTACCCCTGGCACTGCTCAGAGGCAGTGATCCCTCTGGTTGCCTCTCTCTCTCTCACACACACATGCATACACATCCTGCCTACCCTCCTGCCCCTCTCCAGCCCCTGCCTGTCCCCTGCCCATCAGCCCTCCTGTCCCCTCCCCGGTGCCAGCAGAGCTGTGTCCCACTGAGGGGCTGTGCCCAGCTGCCCTTGGCCACTCCTGCCCATTGCTGCACCCCACAGGGAGCATCTGCCATGCTGGCACTGAGGGCACCATGACCCCTGCCAAAGCACCTGGATCCAGGCAAAGGCAATCATGGAATCGTTAAGGTTGGAAAAGACCTTTAAGATCATTGAATCCAACCATCAACCCTACACCACCACCATGTTAACCATTGAACCATATCCCCACATACCACATCCACACATTTTTGAACACTTCCAGGGATGGTGACTCCACCACTTCCCTGGCAGCCTGTTCCAATGCTTTACAACTCCTTCTATGACTTATTTTTTTCCTAATATCCAATCTAAACCTCCCCTGGCAAAACTTGAGGTTATATTTGTTCGCTCTTGTCACTTGTTACCCGAGAGAAGGGACCAACCCCCACCCCAGTATACCCTCTTTTCAGGGAGCTGTAGGGAGCGATAAGGTCTCCCCTCGGGGAAGGCAGATCTGCCATCAGCAGCGACACCCATGGGTGGGAAAGGTCTTTTCCTGTTCCCAGACCTCATCCCCGAGTGCTGCAGGGACCTTCGGCACTGCGGAGTGGGGAGCGGCACCCTGAGGGAGAGCAAAGGTGAGATCCAGGTGAGCCAGAGCCCTGCACCACCACCCACGCTCCAGAGGCAGAAGGTGGCGATCACCCAGCACAACCCTCCGCACCCCTGAGCACCTTTCAAAGGCAAAACGCACCCAGGGAACACCCCTGGGACTCTGCACGCAGCTGCCCGGGTCACGCAGAGCCCTGCCGAGGTCTGGGGCAGCAGCCCCTCCCCTGCTCACCTCCCCGGCTTTCCTGCTGCCTCCAGTTTAATCATTGCCTGGCTGTCTGGCAGGCTCTGCCCGGCCTCTCCCGGCGTGTTTGCCATCGCCCCGGGGTTAGGCAGAGCGAAGGGCAGCGATGACACACGGCAGATGCTGCACCCTGCCAGTGCCCTGCCCGGGCCCTCACCCCTCTGCCCCCCTGCCCACAGCAGCCCCCCGGCCCCGAGGCTCTGCCCAAGGAGCCCCACACCCCTCGGGGACAGTTTTCGCTCTCCAGACCGTGCGTGTTGAGCACGTCAGAGCCCCGGGACCCCGGGCAGCCCTTGCGGGTTCAGCCGAGCCACGGCGGTGACGTGGCCCCTGCCCAGCCACGCCCGGGTGGGCTCCAGAGCCGGGCAGGGCTGGCGGCGGGGGCACGAAAGCAAACAAGGGGTGGATCTGCCCGTCCCCGAGCCAGCACTGCCGCGGTCTGGGCAGGGTGAACAAGAGAGCTCCTTGTGCAGGGCTGGCACCGCGGGGCCGTGTCCCTGCCAGCCTCCCCCTGCGAGCCACAACCCCCCCGGCCACACGCTGGAGTGGGACCTGGGCCAAGCAGGGCTGCCACGGCAGGGGGCAAACTGGTAGGGCCAAACGTCTGCCAAGCCACTGCCACCCCAGCCCAGCATATCCCACGGCGGTGGGATTTCAAGGTTAGTGGGCTTGCAGGCAGTGGTGTGCTCCTGGCTGTGCTGGGCTCCCAGTGCTGGTGGGATCCCAGTGCTAGTGGGATCTCAGTGAAGGTGAGCTCCAAGTAGTGGTGAGTTCCAAGCAGTGGGGGGCTCCCAGTGTTAATGGGGAGCTCCCACGGGGTCACAGCCAGCCAGAGCAGTGCCCCAAAGCCCACCTAGCTGCCCCAGCCAGGAACTTACCCCTTCCCCAGTCCCTCCCAAAGACTCCTGCACTCTTTCCAAAAGACAGGACAACCATCTAGCTTAGCAGGGCTGGACTGAGCACCAGCCAGTGTCCCTAGGCAGGCAGGAGCAGGCTGTACCTGAGCAGTGTTGGATCCCGGCTGGCAGCGGGGTGGCAGCCAGCCAAAGAGCTCAGCCTGACACTGCCATTGCCACGAGTCAGCAGTGCAACAGTTAAGCCTGGTTTGGAGGCTTTTGCACTGCCCTGACACAGCCTGCCAGGATAAGCAAGAAGTAACAGGGGAATCCCAGAAAACGAAGGGTGGAGGGAAGAGGCACACTTTGTCAGGGGAGGAGATGACTGTAACTTTATTTGCAGCACCCTGAAGTCATCTGCTAACACAGGCACCCTTCCCAAGCCCCTGCTCCCGCAGACCAGGCAGTTCTACAACAGCTGCGGTGCTTGTGCTGCTGCTGCCTGGCAGTGCCACTGCCCCTAGGATGCCAACACCACGGCGGGATGCCAGCACCACGGAGGGATTCCAGCACCATGGAGGGACGTCAACACCGTGGCGGGACGTCAGCACAATGGCAGGCTTGTTCCAGGTCGATGGTGCCAGACCCAGATGACTCCCAGCCTGGAGCCGCCCCAGGATGTTGTGAAAAGCCAGACGGCTTCTCGCTCGCCTTCCGTCGTGCCCAGGGGGCTGCAGAAGGCAAAAGCTGGGGATCTGCACCACCAGCAAGGTGCCCCCCAGTGCCACCCTGCTGCTGGATCTGGGCTAGCCCTCTGCACTGGAGCCAGTTCCAGTGCTCTGGGATGCAGATGGTGTGGGCGGTTGTGTCCAGTGCCCTTAAGCCTGGCAGGAGGAACTGAATGGGGCTGGGGGTTTCCCAGCACTGGGATGTTAATGCTCACATCCATGCTGTGCTACCCGGTGCTGGAGCTGGAGCTGGAGCTTGGCACAGGGCACTGTAGCATCACCATGATTCTGGGTGTTCAGGGGATGACTCAGTTCTGGGGAGGTGGGTCCCCATAGCAGCTGGAGGCATGTCCCTGGCTTCTTTCCACTGCTCCAAGGTAGTCATGATGTCCTCCTCTGCCATGCACACAGGACTGCCATTATCCAAACCTATCCATTGGCATACTCAGTGCCTGCACCTTCCCAGACGTGGAGATTTCCCAGCCTGGGGAGACTGGCAGGGACATTGTACAGGATTGCAGGTTCAAAGTTCTGCCCTGTCCCCAGTGCAGGCACTTCTCGGTGGCGTCTGCCCTGGCACACATCATCCTCAGGGCTCCTGGGCCCCACACTGGAGTCTCAGGACCTGGCAGGTGCCCATCACCAGATTATCTGGCTGAAGAGCTCACAGGTGAAAAGCAATGTCAGAGTCCAACCAGTGCCAGGTCCCAGCTGCCAGCTCTGCCAGGTGCCAGGGGCAGCTCCCTGGGGTGCCCAGGCCAGCAGCCTTGTCCCTGTGGGATCATCAGGCCCCATCCCATGGTCAGCATGACCCACGGGTGCAGGGAAGGGCCTTAGGAGATGACACAGCAGCACTTTGGGCAGCAGGGGCACCACCTGCAGCAGCCACATCGCCTGCCAGCCCCCTCCTGAGCCCTGGGGGGCTTGTCCAGGGTGACAGTGTAGAAGGAAGTAGACGATTCACCATTGGGCATCCTCAGGCTGGCATAGGGGTTGTAGGGACGGGACCAGGACTTATCTGTGGAGATGGTTGGGCTGTTCCAGCCATTAGCAGAGTCTGCCTTCTCCTCCCTGTAGGCGGGCACTGCTGTGGGATTGGCAATGATGGTGGGCTCATCCTTCAGGTAACGAGTGATGAAGCTTTGCTGGAACTGCTCCCGTGGAATGTTGACACTGGCATAGGGGTTCTCCAGGCTGATGCCTCGATCCATCTCCCTGCTCCTCATCAGCACACACGACCTGTCTGGCACTGCCCACCTCCTGTGAGACAGAGACCCTGTTAACCCAGGGTGTGGGGCGTCACTGCTGGGGTTGTTCTCACAGCACGCAGAAGGGACCCCTGAGGTTGGGGTGCAGATCCTGCTCCCCCCTCCTCCCCAGCCCCAGAGGACCGTGACATGCAGCACTTGGGCCAAGTGGCCCTGTTGGAAAAGCTGAGAGAGGAGGCAGGAGAGGGTGGAGCAGGGAGCCAAGGTGGTGAGCAGGGTGCTGGGGGGCAGAAGGGGGTGCTGGCTGGGAGACAGTGTGCAGGTAGGGCAGTGGGGTGGGGTACAAAATTGGGGCAGGGGGGCGGAGACAGGTCTCAGAGGTGGAGGTAACACAGTGGAGCGAGGAGGAGAAAGGGGGTGCAGGAGGGTGGGGAGACAGAGACGGAAGAAAGAGGGGACAGGACAGGGGGAGTAGAGAGTGGAGTTGGGGACGCGACAGGCGGGGGGAGATGGGGAACCGGGGCGGGACGGGGGCGGGGGAAGAAGGGGGTCAGGCAGGGGAAGGGGGAACAGGCAGGGAGCAGGCAGGACACAGGCAGGGTGAGGGCAGCGCTCGCCCCCGGCACTCACCGACCGCGCGGCTCCGGCCGCTGCGGGGCCGCTCTGCCCCGGCTGCGCTTCCTCCTGCACGGACCGCCCCGAGCGGCGCCGCCCCGACCGACCGACAGACAGACAGACAGAGCGGCCCCGAGCGACCGCCAACCAACACCCGGCACCCACCGCCCAGCGCCGAGAGACCGACACCCACCCGCTGGCACCCCCCTGCCTCAGCACCCACCCACTAGCCCGGCCCACACCGAAACTACACACTGGGCAAGGGCCACAAGGATCTGGGCACCAATACCAGGCACTGGACACTGGGCACTGGACAATGGGAGTTGGACACTGGACAGAGGCACTGGGCACCAGACAAGGCCACCAGTACTGAGCGTTGTGCACCAAGTACCAGCACTAGTCACTGGTACCAGGCACTGGGCACTGGCACCAGGCAGTGAATACCAGCACCAGCATAGAACTGGTTTGGGGCACTTGCACCAGCACCACCCAGTGTGCAATGAACACCACCCAGCAGGCAGTGCCATAATGCACTGTCACCACTGCAGGACTGGGCACTGACACCAGTACAGGCACCAGGACCATCCCCTGGCACCAGCACTGTGTGCCATGTGCTGGGCACTGAGCTCCAGCACTGGCACCACATTGGTGCTGGGCAGCAGGCAGGGATGGGAGGGGAGGCACTGCACATCAGGGGTCTGTAAGAACCAGCAAACCCCAAACACCAGACACTGGGCAGAGGGCACTGAGCACCATGCACACACAGGTCCTGAGCACTGGGCAGGGGACACCAGGCACCTGCACCTACTGCACCTTCTGCAGACCCCAGACTCCCTGTCAGGCTCTGCTTGTCCCCATGGGCATCCAGGCCCCTGCAGTCCAGTGGTCTCACACACCCTTCCTGGTTGTGTCTGACCTCTCCAGCCCTGAGCTCCCCAATGCCAGGTCTCCACTAGAGTCCTCATCCCTCCAGTGGATCTTGACTGTGCTGTGACCGTGTGCCCACCAACACAGCATTTTCCAGGATAGGTTTTGGGGATCACCCTGTGCCTGCCCCCAGGCCGCCACTGGAAGGTGACACACACGAGGCTGGATGGAGGGAGAGACACAGCTGGTGCTGGGGCAAAGAGGGGGATGTTGGCACATGTACCAGTTCCTGGGACCAGAAGTGCTGTATGAGAAAAGATGCAAAGTTTCAGCACCCTCCACCCTACTCCACCCTGTCCCTGCCATGTGACACTTCTGTCTGACTGCACTGTCACTCTTGCCACCACCACACCCCCCCAAATTGGCTTGTGCAGAGCTCCAACATCTTCCCACAGGCAGTTCTGTGCAGAACCCTGTCCCTTCCAGGAGCATCAGGGATGCCAGGACAGCATCCTCCTGGACAGCCTGGGGATGGGTGCTGGGCAGAGGATGCCCCAAATTGCAGCTGAATCCTCCTGGGACTGAATTACGCTTCCCACAGCAGTTTGTAAAGGGAAAATCATCATCACAGCACACAGCTCTTGGGTTTGAAAGCTGCAGAACTTCTGCACAGACACCTCAGGGTTTCTCTGCCCTCATAGCGTCCCCTGGAGGAGATCCACCAGCAGCCCCTGTCCCTTTGCTGGATCTCACTGCTGTCTCCAGAGAAAAACTCGTCTGTTTGGCTAAGCAGGCGTAGAAAAAGAGATATCCTCCACCCAGGCGTCCTACCGTAACCCCAGCCCGCCCTGCCTGTCCGTGCCCGGCGTTCCCTGCTCGCTCGGGGGATGTCGCTGTAGCGCTCTCCAGCAGCACATTTCCTGTCCTCTCAGTGCTCAGGACTTGCTCATTCTGGCTTTCATCCCCAGATTTCCGTGCGCAGCCCTGTTCCTAAGCGGCTCTGCTTGCAGGGAGCTGCAAGGCTCCACATCAGGCACAGCTCAGGTCTGGAGGGGACCCTGAGACCCTGCAACCCTGTGTCCTCAGCGCCTTCCCTCTCCCCAAGCGGTTCCAAAGAGAAGCTCACCGCATTAGAACTCGGAGCGTTTTTGGGTGGGGACATCCCACACGAGCTGCCCGGGGCTGCAGACCCCACACAGCCCCTCGGAGCAGAGTGTCAGCTGTAATCTGAAGTGCCTGCCCCCCGGTGATGTGTCTCTCGGCATCCAGCCGTGGTAGCTCTCATCTCACAGACACCTCCTGGATACTCTCATTCCTCGCAGGCTCCAGCTCCAGCTCTGCAGCGGCTGGGCTGTCTCAGTCTTGTCTTGGGAAAGCCCTTCCAGTCTCTGCTGCTGTTCTCCTGGTCTGGATTTGGCCATCTTCTCATTTCAAGCTTCAATTTCCTGATGACAAACTTGTTCCTGTGCCAACAGTGCCTTTAATAGCTCCTTTCCTCTTGACCGTGGGCACAGTGGTGCCATTCCTGGAATGCTCCTGACAGCCCTGCCAGTGGGGATGGGTTAACCCCAGACCTCTGGTAAAAAAAGGGAACAGGACTGGTTGCATCATCTGTGGACCCTATAAGGTCCTTGCCAGGCCAAAGTGGCCACCATGGCACCTGGAGAAGGGACCCTGGTCACTTGGGTCATTGGCACCAGTCGTTTAGGTGCTGCTGTCAGACAGGGGACACATCCAGCCCAACCTCTCTCATCTGTGGGGCAGGAGGTCCCACTGGGGTTCCTCCTCCACAAATGGGTGTGGGTTTTTCTGTAACAGGAGCTGGAGAGAGGAGGTGGTTGTGGTCAGCAAACACACTCAGGGAGGTTGAGATGCTGGGACTGGATGCCCTGGTTTTTCTGTCAATGCCCCAAGAGCTGTGCCCATCACCACCCCTTGCATTTGCAGAGCATTGCAGCATCAGGTAGACCTGAATCCATACAACTCTGGGCTCCAGGGCTCTCGGGATCACCTCATCCTCCCCTGGGTGGACAGGACGGACAGTCCTGCAGGCAGCAGGTGGTTCAGAGTTCACGTCCCCACTGGTGGGGGATGATGTGCCTCAGCCCCCTCTCCAGGAGTGCTCCAGTCCCCCAAGTTGAGGTAAATAAATCCTTTAAATATAATGTTATTCCCCAAGAGGGAGATTCAGTGATGAAAGCCAAAACCTGTCCTTTTCAGCACTGAAAAGCATTATTCCTTGCTCCTTGTCTCTCCATCCTGAGAGAGCCATGTAGAGAAGATCAGGCACAGCAGAGTTGTTCAGTGTCTGTCCAGTGCTGGTGATGGGGCAGATCTGCAGCAGTGCAGCCCCAGCAAAGCAGAGTTATCACCAGACAGGAGCAGCAACCCCTAATCTGGAGCCTGAAGTTCAAACATTTCATTTCTTGGCAAGAAATTCTCCAAATTGATCTCCAAGAATGACATCCAGCAGTCTCATGTGGATCCTTGGAGGGTTTGGAGATGATGGAGGATCCTCAGGTCGGAAAAGTTGTTGCATTGAGGCTCAGGCTGCTGGTTTGGAGTTGTCCCACATGGGATTCACCAAGCTGGGAGCCGGCAGGTGCCTCGGAGCTGTGCTCTCCTTGAGTAAATGGAGGAGCTGAACTATTGTGAGGCTCTTTGTTGCTTAAAATCAGCCTGATTTCCTGCAATAGTTTGTGGGGAAAAGGAATCTACAGAGAAAAAAAACAACCAAAAGCTCAATGCCCACCCCGGAGATACGATGGAGAGGGATGTTCTCAGAGATGTTGCTTCCAGAGGAATGTGCTTGGGCTCCATGCAGTCCGGGTGGCAATCCTGGTGATTTGAGGAGGACCCTGGGAAAACCAGGAGAAAGAGGAAAAAAGTCAACCTTTGTTTTCCTTTTTTTCTTTTTTTTCTGACTGGCCTATGAGCTCACTTGAAGCCCAAAAATGAAGGGGTAGCCCTGTGGAGGGGGTCAGGACCTGGGTTCCCAGCATGGGCTGCAGGTACTCAGGGGCAGAAGCATCCCCAACCATGGGACGTGCAGCCAGAAGGAAAGGCTGCCTCAGCAATTCCTCAATAGCCATCCATTAAAGTCACAGATCCTTCAGCCGTGCCACAGCAGGGGACCCACAGCCCCCGACCCTGTGTGACCCAGCACAAGTTGTTGGGAGTTATTCCAGGATACCAGTAACTGCAGGGATCCCATGGGATGTCTCAGCTCTCTGGTGTTTCACACACAGTAAAAGGGACATTTCTTTGTTAAAAAAAAAACACCTCAAACCCAAACAAACCAGAAAGTACATTCTGCTCTCGGGCATTCTTCTGCTGGGGACAGGTATGTGTGGAATCCCGGCGGTGGAGCTTCCCCAGTCCCAGCTCCTCCCAGGGCTCTCGCAGTCACCAGGAATAAAAAACTCACGATCAGGTCGCGTTTGGCAAGTATTTCCCAGGGGCTCGTGGGAGCTGCAGTGCCGTGGCGCCGGCACATGAGGGTGGTGATGCTCTTTCCAGCCCGTCAGTAACGGGGGATGATGCGCGATGACGCTTCCTCGAGGGAAAGGATTTGCCGCCAGCTGGGGGGCAGCTCGGTGAGCCCTCCACGCAGATGGAGGCTGCTCAGCAAACCCTGGGGGGACTGAAGACTTCGCTGAAGCTCAGGAGATCCTGGGGGTGGCCGGTGTGTGGAAAGGACACGGGGGTGGGTTGGGACAGTGCAGTGATGGGAAGGCAAACCCCAAATTTAGGCTGTGTGAAACACATGTGGGATGATCACCTCTGGGACACCACAAGTCTCTCTCAGTGGAATGCAGCTGTGAGAGGTTTTCTTCAAGGCATTTGTTTTAATTCTTGACTGCCTCTTCATTAAGGAGCAGAGCAAGGCCAGGGAGTATAGAAGGAAGGACCATGGGGTGGCCCAGGGGGCAGGAGACATCAGTGGGGTGAGCATCCCTAAGGGGAACCCCAAGGATGGGTGTCACCAGCACAAGGGCTCAGTTGGACACGCAGCAAGTGGGAAGAAGGCTCTGGGGGCTGTGGGCACGAGGTTGCTATGGAGGGGACCCTGCTGGTGCATGTCTGAGGAGTGATGTAGGAAGCAGAGAGCAGCACCCAGGAATAGATCTGCCAGGGGCTGAGGGCCCACAGAAGCTGCAGGCGTTGGTGCTCTGTGCTCCTCGGCAGCACAGCCCGTCACCAGCACCCCAGGGTGGGAAACCCCAGCACAGAATTCAGCTAGTGTCCCCAGGCCTGTGCTCAGCATCCCACGCTCAGAGTCC